GTGCAAACACAAATGACGTAGCACGGTGCTGCTACTGAAGCTACGCGTTATATAGTTGCTCTCTCACCGTGCTAGCTTTCATTAATCTCTGGCTCTCGAGACCATAAACAGACCCAGTCGTAGACACCGGAGCGAAATAGAGTCTCTCCCGGTGGTACGTAAGCTATGTCTGAGAGAGAGAAAGAGGTAGAACAAGCCAGTCGAAGTTGACGCGTACGCTACTTTGTAACGACGAACGTATAATTAAGAAATAAAGAAAGCAGCTGGAAGGACGAAGGTCGCAGTCTTAAACTGGTCCATGTTAAACATGCGAATACGCATCGAGGATTGTTTAGTCTGGAATATATGTTCCAGAGAGAAATTGGAGGATTAGTAGAGCTGTAACTCGGGTGTTAGTTTTACTCGTAAACCAAACAAAAACTAATCTCTTATTCTCTTGATGAACGGAGATACCGTTTCTCACACTGTTTATGTGAGTAAGGTGATAACGCACCCCTGTTAGATGAGGTCATCGGTGCCTCGTGTCACCGGCTCTGCGTGCCCGGTAGAGTTAGTCCTCTCAAGACATTAATAACAGAAGGAAGTCACTTCCGATGCGTAGAGGAATAAAATATCCAAGTATTAAAAGCTGAAGCAGTTTATTTAAAACCCATTTTCCAACAATGGACGTTAGGACTGGATAGGGGAACACCTGATTACATAGTACTGGAGGAGGCAAACAGGACAAAGATGAAAGTAATGCAGGTAAAGAGAGCGAGGAGTATGAGGGAAAAATAGAAAGGGATAGAGAAGGAAGCTTAGTAAAGGAATGTTTAAAAGAAAGAAGGGCAGGGAAGGGAAATAAAGAAAATCTTAAGAACAGGCTAGAGCACTTTAAAAAATGCGGTTTCAGTCAGGAAGGAGTGGACCTATTGTGGGAGGAAGGAAAACCAGCTGGCGAGATATTAAGAAACAGAGAAGTAGAGGTGGATAAACAAGTACACTGTGCCTAGACAAGTGCCTAGACAAGTACCTAGTGACAGGAACATTGCCTGTTAGGGATTGGGTTTATGGCACGGCCGTTCTTTCATACGATTTTGAATGCACACCTTTCCTTTTTTTTTGCCTTCAGCCAACTAAATCTTTTAATCTGTCAGCGAGGCCCAGGAAGCAATTATGGCGGTAGCAGCATAAAGTTTCTGCGCGCCACATGTCTTCCTGGTGCCCACTCGTGACCATCCGATAGCTAGTGCCGTGCCATAAAACCGTCCCCGGCGCCCCGACCGCTCAAGTCCCATTACGAGCGAGCTACCCTTGGACCTCATGCCCCCGCCAACGCGACGTACCACCACCCTGCCAACTGGGACTTCCAGGATGGGCGGTATGCTAGCTGGTCCTGGAGGACTGTCCGAAGGTTAGTCACGCTCTAATTGGCGCACACCATCAGCTCCCACACATCCACTTTTCATATAAATAGCGACACAACACCCTCAAACGGGATGATTATTAATATTTGTATAAAGATCAACATTCACACGCACACCACACTAAGACATTGATTATATCACCAAGTAATTTATTCTGAAATATAATATTGAAATACGTGTGACACTATTTATCTTCACCAACACCACACCATCCATCAAACCAACATCATCGAACCAGCGACACCATAGCACCACCACTCTTGAACATATTGCTTGTTCGAAGTACAAGACGCAACAAAATCCAAAGGGAAGCTCAAAATCAGGCAGTCTTATCCCACGTTCTTTTGCTTTTGAACTAAATAATCCCCGTCACACAATCTATGCATAATACCAATCATACCAATCATATCAATCACGTTAACCAGAGTCCAATGCATTCTAACGAATTTTTGTCAACCCTCTAAGTCCGGGGGTATTTTGAACTTGTCGTAGACTTTTCTTAGGGGGTACAACACCAGTGCAGTGCAAAACAGCAACAGTGCGGTGCAGTTCCAGTGCAGTGCAAAACAGCAACAGTGAAGTGCAGCATCAGTGCAAGTTTGCAAAGCAATAACAGTTCGGTGCATCAGTGCAACTTTGCAAAGCAACAACAATTTGGAGTAATACCAGAGCAGCAGCTAGAGAGGTGCAACTGCAGTCCAACAGCATCCAGGCAGTAGAATTGCAGCGTTGCAGCCACATTTCTATCCCATCTTAAACCCTTCGATCTCCACTCAAACAATTAAAAATGGCTCCATCTCATGAAGAGCGGATTAAATCTTTAAAAGCTAAACGCGAAGCCTTCAGCATCGAGTTGCAAGAGCTCAAAGACATGTTAAATGACCCTGAGGTATTTGCGCACGGCCGCGACATTCCGTACCGAGAAATTGGAATGCGTCTAGAGGACATACAAAACGAATACGCCGCATTCGCAAAAAATCAGCAAGATCTAGACACCGCGGACGAAACAGGAGATTTATTGCGCGAGCGAATGAGGTTAAAATCACTTTATACGCAGGTGCGAGCACAAGCCTTAGACTTCCTTCCAAGCAACAACGTCGCGAGTGCAGCCACCCATATACCTCATGGTGATGTACAAAGTCAGCCGTCACCGTATTCGCAAATCGAGTTGTTAGATTTAGACGTACACCTCCCAAAGATAAATTTGCCATTGTTTTCTGGACAGTACGAAGAATGGCCGGGTTTTGCCGACCAATTTCGATCAACTGTTCGCGAAAACCAGAGAATAAACGATTGTAAACAGCTCATGTATCTCAGATCGTGTTTAAAGAACGAAGCGTTAAGGGCGATAGAATCACTCAGTAATTCAGCATCAAACTATGCTGTTGCATGGAATATCCTGCAGAAACGATATCATCATATAGCTGTTAACCGATCAACACACCGCGAATTAAGACCCTTTTTAAATTCTATAGAGGCTCATTACCGTTCACTACAATCCCTAAACCAGCCGACCACCGATTCTCTCTTAATACATTTATTACTTTCAAAAATCGACAAGGATACAGTTTTGAAATGGAAGGAGCATACCTGCAATGAGCAATTTCCTTCGATCGAGACGTTCTTTGCCTTCCTACATGAAAGGTGCCAAATTTTAGAGCCCTTCGGAAACACAACCAATTGCCAGACATCGTCCATCCCCAATCATATACCGCGTCACCAACCACTTCGCCGACCACCGCCAAGACCCTTTGTTCACAACACACACACCCATACATCACAGGTATACAACGTCCAGACACCTACGATCTCATGTAACTTCTGCAAGGGTTCTCATTATCCGCAACAATGCGAGACATTTCTACGCTTATCCATCCCCGATCGTATAAAATTCGCAAGAACGAAAAACTCGTGCTTGAACTGTCTTCGTTCAACACACCGCACGAGCGAGTGTAGATCCACCACATGTCGAAGATGCTACCAAAAGCATCACACGTTACTTCATCAAGAAGTTGCGTCAACCTTAGTCGCGCCCACCCAAGTGAATGCCACTTGTCTCAAAGCTAGCACACCTTCGCAAATACTACTGGCGACGGCCGTAATCAATGTCATTGATAAATTTGGACAACCGCATCCGTGTAGGGTATTATTAGACTCATGCTCCCAATCACATTTCATAACAAAGAGGTTCTTCCAAAGGCTACAGCTTGCCACCAAATCAATCGCGATTCCGATCAATGGAATGAACGACATGACCTCAGTCGTTAAAGCGCAAACCACTGCCCAGATCCAATCGCGATATAACAACTTCTCGAAAACTTTCACCATGCTAATTGTAGAAGAAATTTCGCAAAGACTACCTGCTCATCAAATAGAAAAATACTCATTAAACATACCCGCGAACACTTACCTGGCCGACCCTCAGTTCTACGAGCCCGCAGGTATCGACGGACTGTTAGGAGCACAGGTATTCTGGGACCTGTTGTGCTTGGGCCAAATCACACTCAATGAAAAGACCATGAAACTACAACAAACCCAATTAGGCTGGATAATAACAGGGGAAGTGCCGATAAAAGGCACGCATAAAAACACAATTTGCAATCTATCAATGGAAACGCTAAATAATAACATAAATAAATTTTGGGAATTGGAGGAGCGCGTACCGGAAAAGTTATTATCCATAGAGGAACAAAATTGCGAGACACATTACATTAAACGTACACAGCGCGATCCAGTCACAGGTAAATACATTGTTCAACTGCCGTCTAAAAATAACATTCACACATTAGGAAATTCCTACTCATTAACTTTACGGCGTTTTCTTTTTTTAGAAAGACAACTCGACCGTAGTCCAGAAATGAAGGTGCAATATATAAATTTCATGAAAGAATACGAGCAGCTAAAGCATATGTCCAAAATCTCACACCACCCGAACGAAGGATACTTTTTACCTCATCACGCGGTCACGAAATCAGACAGCCTAACCACTAAAATTCGTGTGGTTTTCGATGCCTCGGCAAGATCCACCTCAGGAATCTCACTAAATGAAACTTTGATGGTAGGTCCAGTAGTACAAGAGGATCTATTTTCAATAGTTACCCGTTTTCGCGTTCATACATACGTCTTAACCGCAGACATAACAAAAATGTATAGACAAATAATACTAAATCCAGAGTCCAACGCATGCCATCGAAACCTACCAGCTAAACACGGTTACGTATGGTACGGCATGCGCGTCATATTTAGCCACACGGTCCTTATTGCAACTTGCTGAAGATGAAGAAAAGGTACATCCCGAAGCATCAAAGATACTAAAAACCGACTTTTACGTGGACGACTTGTTAACCGGCGCCGACAATCTAGGGAAGGCGCAGCGTATTCGCGATGAACTCATCGCACTCACAGCAAAGGGGGGCTTTCAACTCAGACAATGGTTGTCGAATGAACCGCAATTAGTAGCGCCATTGCAAAAATCAGACGATCCGCTCATGACTCTTGATCTCTCAGATGAGAAAAAGACGCTAGGTCTTTATTGGCACCCCACACAGGATACACTTGGCTACACTTTAAAGGGCAACGAACCCTTGAACACCGTAACGAAACGCACTATTTTATCTAGAATTGCACAACTATTCGACCCGCTAGGATTAATAGGTCCAATAATTGTCCAAGCAAAGCTTATTATGCAAAGCTTATGGAAAATAAAACAAACCTGGGATGAACCGCTTCCCATCGAAATTCATTCAACCTGGGTAGATTTTCAAGCGCAACTACATTTAGTACGTCAGTTTTCTATTCCGCGACGAATTGTAAAGGACAATTGCAAATCTATGCAAATACATGGATTCTGTGACGCGAGTGAGCGCGCGTACGGTGCATGTATATACCTCAGAACGACTACTACCGATGGAAATTATTATACCTCACTAGTTTGTTCAAAATCTCGCGTCGCACCTCTCAAAACGCAATCATTACCACGTTTAGAATTATGTGCAGCACTGGTATTAATTAATTTGTACAAAATCACCAGTAAAGCTCTAAGAATACCAATAGAAAAAACTTACTTTTGGACAGACTCCATGATTGTATTGCATTGGATTAATTCTCAACCTCACACATTAAAACAATTCGTTGGAAATAGGGTAAGCGAAATTCAGCAGCACAGCAATGCAGAGCTCTGGCGTCATGTACCATCAAAGGACAATCCAGGGGACATACTCTCTCGAGGGGCAAGTCCATCTGAACTAAATAAAAATCTAACATGGAAAAATGGACCACATTGGCTCTCACTAAATGAAGACCAATGGCCAATCACAAACTTGCAATCCATAGACATCCCTGAAACGCGTAAAATTACTATATTATCAAACACGCTTGCCGAAACCCCTAATATTTTCGCAAAATTTTCAAATTTTCAACTGCTAACACGCGTAGTAGCATATTGCATCAGATTCTACCACCATTCACTAAAGAAAACAAAACACAACGGGCAATTAACTACAGACGAACTAAGGAGCTCTCACGATCGTATAATTAGACTAATTCAACTACAAGAATTCCATAATGACCGCAAGGTCCTGGAAACGCAGGTAAACGATAAATCCTACAAAGGGCGCCTTGCTGCGCTCCACCCATTCATAGACGCGTGCGGTCTCCTACGAGTAGGCGGTAGACTGTCTCACGCGGATCTGACGTATGATCAGAAGCACCCTTTGCTTCTTCCACAAAGGCACTCGGTCACAGAGTCAATCATCCAACAATACCATTTAAAGCAAGGACACGCGGGTGTCCAAGCCACTCTTAATGCGGTACGGCAAACTTATTGGCCGATAAGCGGGAAAACCGTAGTGAAAACAATGATCCGTAAATGCGTAAAATGCTATCGTGCAAGGCCTACTATTCCGGAATATCCAATGGGAAATTTACCCAAGGATCGCGTCACCCTAAAACGCCCATTCTTAACTACTGGCATCGATTACTGTGGGCCATTTCATATCAAGGAAAAAAGGTTAAGAAACACTAAACAAATTAAATGCTATGTAGCAATTTTCATTTGCCTTGCAACGAAAGCAGTTCACATTGAATTAGTGAGTGATTTGAGCACCGACGCTTTTCTCGCGGCATTGCGCAGACTCTTTGCTCGTCGAGGAAAATCCACCGATCTATATTCAGACAATGCAACCAACTTTGTAGGCGCGAATCATAATTTACAAGACTTACACGAGCTATTACAATCCAAGACTCATAATGACTACATAAAGCATCATCTCGCAAATGACAATATCAACTGGCACTTCATACCCCCCCGGGCTCCCCATTTCGGCGGTTTATGGGAAGCCGCAGTCAAATCTTTCAAATACCACCTCGTTCGGGTATTAGGTAACACGCTCCTCACCTACGAAGCTTTCAGCACGTGCATAATAGAGATCGAAGCCATCCTTAATTCTAGACCTATAACACCTTTATCCTCAAACCCTACCGACTATACTGCCTTAACCCCAGGTCATTTCCTCATCGGCGATACAATAACTAACATACCTGAGCGAGACCTTTCAGCAGTCAATACGGGCCGATTGGCGCTATGGCAGCATATCCAGCAAATTAAGCAACACTTTTGGGCGCGTTGGCGCAAGGAATACTTGAATGAGCTAACGATAAGGCACAAATGGCATCAAGTCAAAGAGGCAAACATCCAGGAAGGGCTGTTGGTCATCATCAAGGAAGATAATCTCCCACCATTGGCCTTTGGGACGCATCGTAGAAAAACACCCGGGCAAAGACGGAATCACCCGAGTTGTGACCATTAAAACAGCGAGCGGTATCTATAAGCGCCCGATTAAAAAATTAGCTCCTCTGCCAATAGACATTACTTAACCAGGGTAACTCAACACGACAAATTATGTAAATAGTCTGTAAGTTGTAAATAGCTGATAGTAGGTTAACACATCCAAACTCGTATGTACATATACTCTCACCTATGCATTACATAGCGGAAGCCGATCTATTTTACGCAAACTCTCTCTTATTCTCATATTCTTTTATTACTATTATACATTACGCACACACACACACACACACACACACCTTTACCCATCACTAGCCTCTCTATCTTGAACGCAGCCGTTCAAGAGGGGGTAGCATATTAGGGATTGGGTTTATGGCACGGCCGTTCTTTCATACGATTTTGAATGCACACCTTTCCTTTTTTTGCCTTTAGCCAACTAAATCTTTTAATCTGTCAGCGAGGCCCAGGAAGCATTTATGGCGGTAGCAACATAAAGTTTCTGCGCGCCACATGTCTTCCTGGTGCCCACTCGTGACCATCCGATAACTAGTGCCGTGCCATAAAAGCTTCCCCGTCGCCCCGACCGCTCAAGTCCCATTACGAGCGAGCTACCCTTGGACTTCATGCCCCCGCCAACGCGACGTACCACCACCCTGCCAACTGGGACTTCCAGGATGGGCGGTATGCCTGCGGGTCCTGGAGGACTGTCCGAAGGGTAGTCACGCTCTAATTGGCGCACACCATCACCTCCCACACATCCACTTTTCATATAAATAGCGACACAACACCCGCAAACGGGATGATTATTAACATTTGTATAAAGATCAACATTCACACGCACACCACACTAAGGCATTGATTATATCACCAATTAATTTATTCTGAAATATAATATTGAAATACGTGTGCCACTATTATTTTCACCAACATCACACCATCCATCAAACCAACATCATCGAACCAGCGACAGCATAGCGCCACCACTCTCGAACATATTGCTTGTTCGAAGTACAAGACGCAACATTGCCAAAGTACTTAAGAAAGAGTAGAAGGAATGGAGAGCAAAAAACAATGGCTAGAGCAAGATGTGGATCCACAGAAAATGCCAACAAGTTTTGGGCAAAAGAAGAAGAGAAAAAATGCCCACTATGTGAGGAAAAGGAAGGAACGTTTGAACACTGGAGACAATGCAGGAAAATAGGAGAAATCGATCTCAGCATGGAAAGGATCCTGGCGAAAGAAGGAGAAGCGGAAGCGATGGCCTGGCTTAGAAAAATAGAAAAAGAAAAAGAGAAAAGAAGAAATGGATAACCAATATAGAAACCCACCAGAAGATAGAGTTAGTAAAAGAAAGCACAGAAAAAAAGAAAGATTAGTTATAGATGAGTTAATATTAGTTAATGAGGGTTAAATCTTGTTTATATAGTTCATATAGTTATATAGTTAAAATTTTTGGTAGGCAATACTAGACAATTAAGGAAAGTGAGATCAGCCAAGCATCGATGCTGATTAAATAAGTTAAATGGAAAACAAGAACTGTAAACAATAATGTAAAGACCGAGGTCTATTTCTAAGCCAAAAGGCTGAAATAAAGATTACTATACTAGTGAAAAATCATGCTTTGATAATACATAAATAAAATGCAATACATAGATCTTTAAAACTAAGAAAAACATTTTTTCACTTTTGACCAGGATTTCGGCGAAATCTGTCACTGTGCGCTATTACCATCCTCACCTATTTTTGTGCGCGCAAGTTCTGAGATAAATGAATACTCCTGAATATTAGACAGCAATAATTTTATTATATACTACATAATATGTGAACATTAACTCGGAATGATCTACTGTTCCGCTTGAAGAAAATTTATATTAACCATTTATATATTTTCACTACAGAAAATTGGCATGCAAACTTAATTTGACTATAATTTTGGATCAAGTTTAAAGAATTTCACCCAAGGAAATAAATTCAGTTCTATATTACCAAAAATAAGTTTTTCATTTGGTAGTAAATCTTTTCTTCGTGATAATTCACCTGAAAATCAAATAGTTTTATAAAAATTTATAAAAAAATTATAATTAATGTAATATCATGAAAAGCACTGATAGAACAATATTTATACATTTTTTTGTATGCTAGACAATTCACAATTTAACGCAATGATCATAAACATTTCTGCTGTTTTTTACCATATAAAAGCAAAATGTTTCCATTGAACATTTATAACAAAAATATATAATGTTTGTATTACTAATTTATCTCAATTTCTACGTGATTTATTTTGAGTATGACCAATTTTACAGTGGCCGGTGTATAATCGTTTGCCAAGCCTCAGGGATTCTTAAGTCTATCATTTAAATACTTATAATTAAAAAAATCAAGATTTATTCTGCCATGTATGTAAAAGCACCTTTTAACATTTTTTCCACCTGTAACTAAACACTCTGTATATACAACATTTCAAAAGATACTTTGAAGGGGGTGTATTCCTCTGTGACACCTTAAAAAAATCTTTTTTTTTTCATTTTCCGAAAATATCTCTTGTGTTTGGCATCTAGCATTAGAACATTTATTTTGCGGCAAAAAATTTTGGAAATTGCTACTTATTATGCAACTTTTATTTTTAACGAAGGCTTCCAAACCTTATTAAAAATGATGAACAATATAGACGTGAAAACTGGTCCAGAAGCCATTAAACTCGGCGAAACACAGAACAACACATACATACATACACTGCCGGTGAAAAGTTTCCGACCACTTCAATATTTGTGAACGATTCATGAATTAATGGAAATGAGGTTACAATGTTGCAGGCTCTTTCACATCTAATTATGGGTTAATGTAATACAATACAAGGAATTACAAAAATTATTATTATTATGTCTTTATTGATAACAATAATACAAAAACTATGTTAGACAGCTTTTTCGTCAAAAAATGAGCCTTTCTTTCTTTTCAATGTTTCAACTAATCTCGGGATTCTATCGACTAATTTATTTATTATTATTTGAGGAATATCTTTCCAAGCGTTTTATAAAACTTCCCAGAGATCTTTTTTGGATTTTGGACAGTGTTGTCTAATCTTTCTGTCCATATGATCCCAAAGTAACTCAATAGGGTTTAAGACTGGTGATTGAGCTGGCCATTTCATGTTTTTTAATACTCCTTCCTCTTCTTTCTCTTGAAGATATCCTTCACAAAGTTTGGACGTGTGCTTGGGATCGTTATCCTGCTGTAACACAAATCCTCATCCAATTAGGCGTAGTCCAGACGGAATCGCGTGACGTTCTAATATTTCTTTATAACGTTCCTTTTTCAGTGTGCCGTCTATAAGAACAAGGCCACCTATTCCTTCACTTGAGAAACACCTCCAAACTTGAATTGAACCACCACCATGCTTTATTGTTGGTTGTACACGTGATGGCAACAGTGATTCTCCAACAGTACGACGAACGTAAACTCGTCGTCTTGAACCAAATACAGTAATGTCTCCACAAGTGTCAGTCAGTTTGGATTCCACAAGTGTCAGTCAGTTTGGATTCTACAAGTGTCAGTATAGATGGTCCTACGCCTAGGTCTGCATCATTGCTACGCCTATGTTATCTCGCTCGCAGTCAGTCAAGCGTGTAACGCTACACTACTCGGTTTCTTTTACGAGATTTCACGGCTCGACAATTCATAATAGAAGAATATAATTTCTTTAATTTTACTTTTTTTCATCTGAAATTTTTTTAACATGGTGAGATTTTTCTGATGAAAATGAGATCAAACACGATATCATTTGAACAACATTTACTTATTAATACTGTAGCGTCGAGCTACAGCGAAGAACATTTGGCGAGCAGACTACCAGCACGGTTTATGATGTGCGCGCTTGAAAAGCTATTTTTGAGGAAACCGTTTTTAGCTTATTTAATTTCTAAAAATTCGACAATGCATGTCCGCGTAGAAACTTTCTCCGACGGCCTCAATAGCAAATTGCCGCATCATAAACCAAGGGTTTCCGAAAGGTCCGCCGTACGAGGCCCAGAGGCCCGGACCGGCAGGTCACGAGTACTTGACCTGGAGGAAACTCAGCTGCCCGCCCACGGACCTCCAAAGCCGTCAGCCAACATTTAATAAAGATCTCACTACTACCGTGTGAGTACATAGCGTAACCCTAGTCACGCCTTATTATTCGTAACTACATTACTTCAATACTTATTGAGTGATTAATTTAATATCGGCCTACTTCCGCGTAAAAAAAAAAAAAAATGTAGTACCGATTCTACAAGTGTCAGTCAAATGTAGGGCCGATTCGACAAGTGTCAGTTAAACGGCAGACCGACTCGATGTAATTTAATACAGGGCGTCTGTTTTATCTCAATACAGTGAAATATCTGGCGTGACAGTGAACGTGTTAATAAGTAAATGTTGTTCAAATTATGTCGTGTTTAATATCATTTTCATCAGAAAAATCTCATCAATATGTTAAGAAAAATTTCGGGATAAAAAAACGTAAAATGAAAAAAGTTGGTATTTAAATCGCTTGGTTGCCTCGACTCACGTTTCATCCTTATCTTTTATTCGCTGTCCTTGTCTACGTTCGACAAACTACAAAGGCGGGCGCGAGGCTCGAAAACGTAGTCCCTGACTCTACAAGTGTCAGGTTTAGGTTCCTTGCGGACTGACACTTGTGGAGACATTACTGTACCTCAAATTTTGATTCGTCGGTCCAAAGTACCTTACTCCACTCTTCTGATGTCCATGATTTATGAGTAGAGGCCCATTGAAGTCGTTTCCTTTTATTAATTGGCCGAAGTAATGGTTTTCTTATTGCAATTCACCCAAATAAGCCAGCATTTCTCAAACGCGTTTTCACAGTTGTTAATGACACTGCGTTAGTCCGTGTGCTATTTAATTCTGCACAAATTTCTGGGCCTGTCTTCTTTCGATTTCTCTTATTTAAGAGTACAATATATTTATCTTCTGCTTTCGTGGTAACTTTTGGTCTCCCAGATCGTTTCTTGGATTCATACGACCCCGTATTTTGGAACCGTGTAATAGTATCGTGTACTGTTGTTTTTGGTAATCTCAATTGAGCAGCTATGATTCGCTCTGATTTTCCTTCGGAATGCAAAGTACATATAGCACTTCGTATTGCAATATTCAGTTGTCTAGATTTACCCATTTTTCACGTTTTATTCGCAGAAACAGTTCTCTGACAAGTTTCTCTGTTGTACTAAGCTTTGTCGCAGATTACTCGGTATTTATACTAATTTTTCCAACAAAATGTGGTCTATATTGCTCAGGTAATAACTACCCTTAATTACTTATTCTAGAATGTACCGAAATTTAAATATCAGCAGTCAATAGAGCTTACTACTTCATCCTCGCTTATATACCTCAAAAATATTACTTCCATAAAATAATTCTAATTCAAGACTATGGAATTTCAAGACGGTGTAACAGGTATAGGAACAAAGGGAATGATCATAAAAACAGTTGAACATAGAATAAGTGACTGCTTTGTGACTTTCAGCTGCGTTAAATTGTAGTATTCGAAAAAAAAGAAGGTGGTCGGAAACTTTCCGCCGGCAGTTTATGTAGATGCTCACCGCCAACCGCCGCAGTTCTGATGTCTCAAAAGAGGCTAGAATAACTCGTCGAAACGAAAGACTAGAATTAGATGAAAAATATGAGGAAGCCGAAGATATCTTGTATAGAGTTGGGATTGGCGATTAGTACTGTAAGTAACGTTTTCACAAATTTAGTATTTTTCCAGTATAAAACTTCAAACGCATTTTTCTAGAAACGTAATTTTTTTACCTGGCGTACATAAAATCTTAAAAACTATACGACCGATTGCTCTGAAATTTTTACAGGATATTCCACATACTACTAGCTTTTGTCGCTACTAAAATGATATTTTGGTGTTGAATTTATTATACTTTTTTTATTAAAAAATTGCCGAGAAAAGAATGAAAGTTCGAAATTTGCAATTTAAGCATTTGCCATTTTGTCAATTTTCAACATAAATTATTAATTTTGGTACGGACGATAACGATAAATATACTGATTAAGAGTCTTCTTGATTTCTTTGTTTTGGTCCACCCTGAAAGCTCTAATCACCTACACCAGCGAAATATGATTTTCAAACACGGGTTTATTGCGAGCAAGATAAAAAAACAATAAATTAAAACTGTATAAAAAATTGTTATGTATGACGGAAAGGTAACTGAACAAACAACAGAAAAAATCATAACGATAGACGTACATATGTTTGTATGTACATACGTAACTTAAAAAGAAATTCATGAAAATTGTTACATTTTTACAACGTTCACAGAGGAATGCCCCCTTAACTTACGCCCTTCCTATCTTTCTATGATAGTAACATTAATTTAAAAAATTATTTACGTAAATCAATGCAATAATAACATAAATCTTGTCGCAAAAGCGTCAGAGCAAAATACTGGTATTTTGTAATCGCCCGCTGCCACCCGTAGTTTGACGGTAGAGGTTATTGTATTTCTATAAAAAATTAGTAAATACAATCGACAACTAATTATTTGCAAGATAAAACAGAATTCTTAGATAAATGTACTAAAGAAAATTTAAAAACATTATTGATATAAATATTTGTGCTAATATTATAAATAACGAATGTCAGAGCAGAGCTAATAAAAAATACTTCTTGAGTAAAAGTAATAAAAAAAAATGATTAAAATTTGTAAGATAACATACTAATACTGTAACTTATATTTCTAACAAAGACAGATCCTGATACTGTGCAGAGGTCAGGAGTTTGCCCCGGGACGGCACAGAGGCAAAAGGAGATCCTCGGTGGCACCGCTCGGATCTTCCTTAATTCGATTCGTCGATGTTATCTCGTTCGGGCAATAATGACAATACGTGCGTCCTATTTTCATGATTGTATTAGGGAAGGTGGCCTTATGGAGATATGACCCAATAAGACCAGCATTCCTTCCAGGGACAAACTCCTGAGCTCTACATAGTCCATGTATTTAGATATGGTACACATTTCAAAATAT